CCCCAAAACCCCAAAACCCCAAAACCCCAAAACCCCTATTAAAGGAAGAAAATGGAAAGGGAAATTAATAATATCAATGGAAAAGTTAAACTCAGAAACATCAGCTAGGCTGATGAGGAAGGAAAAAGCCAAACCGCAGAACAAATTCTGTGCTGATTGAGATACTATTGGACCTGAATGGATTTCGATCAAGTTCGGTACATTCATATGCATCAGATGTGCAGGTAATTTTTAGTCAGATTTTGAACAATAGTCTTTATCTCATTTGTTTGGATCTAACTGGAAAATATAGGAGTACATCGAGAATTAGGAACTGACTATACTTTTGTGCAGTCTGCAGTACTGGATAGGCTCAAGCTTCATGTTGTTGAACAATACCAAATTTTAGGTAGGGATAGAGTGACTCACACTGATCTTAAATGGCGCCTTTGTAGAAGATTCACAATCACCTATTTTTAGTCATTTGGGATCAATCTGCTAGAAATTTTACAGATTAATTAATTTCCGAAAATTTCTGTCAAAAATGCAAACTATTAGATATGCAATTAAAATTACCTCTTCATCAGTTCCACTAATGTCCTAACCTCACTACCACAGACAATGAGATCATGAACACCTACTACGAACACACCCTCCCTCCAAACCTCAAGCCCAAAATATCTTCCAAAATCTCCACAATTAAGAAATTCATCAAGAACAAGTACATTCTCAACCTATGGACTTCTGAAGGTGCCCAGAATCCGGTGGAGGCAGTACAGAATGGAGAATATAGGAAGGATATGAGGAAGAGTACTAATAGGGGGAAGAAGGAGATGAAGGAGGTGAAGGGGAGTAGGAAGAAGGGGAAGAAGAGAGGAGGTAAGAGAAAGAAATCAGAAGAACGATCAGATTTAATAAATTGTGATAAGAAAGAACAATGAGATAAAACTCAGCAAGTAAAGAAGGAAAATAGAACTCATACTCTGGAGCAAGAAGATGATTTCAGTGAGTTCGTTGAGCCCCAAAAAGAGTCTACAGAACACAAAAATGAATTATTTGCTGATATTGATATTAACTCTATACCATTCGAACCCTCAGGTACTAACAACGATCCTTTTGCAACCCCTTCAAAAAGCACTATGGAAACCCATCTAGCACATCTATACCACCAATCTTCCCTAACCCACGACCCAAACAACAAATACGCTGCTTTAGAACACTTCTGAGCCCCTCCCCCCACCATCTTCGCAGGAATGACTATTTCCCCACCCCACATCTCCCCAACACCTTACTACCAAAGCATCCTTCCTTCTCTCTCAGGTGCCAAATCCAGCCAAGCGGCTCCATCGAAGCTTCAGCAGATTCCTAACTCTGCAGCCCAGAGCTTGGCGAAGCAAGCTCCTCCAGCTGGCTCAGCTGGGAAGGCCACTGATGCCTTCAGTGGCCTGGTCGCTCAGCAGTGGTGAGTCTAGACCGAAGCCTGTGGTAAAGGGTAAAATTAGTTAAGATTTCAGTCGTAGATTCAAAATTGGGGTTTTGGGGTTTTGGGGTTTTGGGGTTTTGGGG